AGACAGTACTAAAAAATCCACATCTGTCCTCAAAACACTGATAGCCACAGAGGAGGGTGCAAGGAGCTGGAGGCTCAAGCTGAAAGAGGCTTTTGTCTGCACCAAAGAGAAGCTCATGGTCAAATAGGAAAGCACAGCCCATGTGAGGCTAAACAGGTAGATCTGGGTTTTAACTTCTCCATCCCTCAAAGTGCAGGTTTGATTTAGTTATTTACCCAAAGGAGAAAACAGCTCATACCTCTTTTATTCTGTCTTTGGAGCTGTTGGGACAAGAAACATCTGTGCCTTGCAAACTCTGCAGTTCTTCCTAATGGGAGATGTTGGCCTCTTAAGCTTCCAGTACTTACATTAATTTTTGGTCCTGATGAGGTTAGAGTAAGGGAAAAGAAGCCCTGCTGCTGTTTCAGGTTATGAAGAAASAGTCAAATAGACTGAGATCCTATCCCAAATTCTGCATAGAGGCCCCTGCTTTTTTGGGCTTGATGTTGTCTGATTTCAGTCAAGGGGATGTTGTCTATTAACTYGAACTGTGCAAGATCAAACTTTCAAATCATTCAGGAATAACCCATGCAAATCTCTCTGAAGACCTTTCCCATTTAGGTAGAAATCAAAATGCCCTGGTATCGTAACGCAAAACTCACATCCTGAAGGAATTTGATGGAAATCTTTTTTTTTTTTTTTTTCCCCCCTTGCAGCCAGAGACAAACTCTGAGTCTCTTGATATTTCATGTTTTTCTTACCACTGAAGCTCCTGCAGATATGCAATTAGATAGGAATCTCAGCTGCCATTAAAAAGAAGGCAGACATTTATAGTCCACAGGACTGCAAAGAAAAGCCTGAATTCAGAACTGAGGCTTAGAAAGCAGAAGGCACATAAAAATAAGTTAAAATATCTTGCTCTCCTGGGATCTGAGTCATGCATTGGGGACTGGAATGCCCAATACCTTCAATAAACAGTGTTGCTGAATTCAGTGAGTTTTGGATCCTGCATCCAGAAAGATGACACAAGGGTGCTGTGCTTCAGATCATGGCCTCCTGCCCCAGAAAGCATCTCTTCACCAGAGATTGTCTACCTCGTACTGAAAAGTATGGCAACCAAAGTTTTAGACCCATCCCAGGTTCAGCCAAATTATTAATCAGTCAATATTTCACCCATCAGCATTTAATATCAGTTTAAGACTTAACCTGTATCAAAGGAAATAGGAAATAAACTTCTTATTCTTCATTCTAAAGTTAGCCTGACAAAACATGAGTTCTGCCATTTATTTGCCTTGTCCTTGACAAATACATACACAAAAAAGGGAACATTTTACAAGAGAGAATATCAATAATCTCTTAAGGGAGCCAGGAAAAATTGGTTTGCCTATTTACACATCAATATATAAAATCCCCCACAAACCTAGTATTTATTTGACTCTGGTGCTCGAGAGTTACTCTGGTTGTAAAGACTCCAGTAATGTAATTGCATGGGACAGTGGATCAGTGTCTGTTCACGGGGCAACCTTGAGTCCTGCCCGTGTTCAGAACAGAGCTTTGGCCGATTCAATGGCCTTGTCCCAGCTAAGGAGCGAGGCAAAATGTGGATGGAGAAGTAATGCCCTTCATTAAATTAGCTGAGCAGACCAGCTGCAGTGCAGCAGAGGAATACAAAGAAAAGATAGTGATGCTCTCGGGCACACAAGCCCTTCTGCCAGCCTGAGACAAGGATGTGAAGCTTCATAAACACAGGCGCTGAATTCAACCCCAGCAAAGACCCCAAGCATCAGCTTGAAGGCTACAATTATGAAAATATTGCCCTTATGAGTTTTGAAATGTCATTTGCACGAATTGGGATCAAGCCTGAGAAATCAGTAAGAAAAAAAAGTCTGATTGGACAGAAGTTGCATAAAATTGGGGTCAACACCTTTGCTATTTTCTCCAGGGGGATTTAAAAAGAAATACATTTCACAAAATGGAAGGCCAACAGCAAGAAGCAAGATTATTTTCTTTTTCTCAGCCAGCAGTAAACAACACACATCTTCGTGAAAATGAAACGTGTCCCAAGGAATTTGAGATGGATCATTGCTTTTTATGAAACATTAGATGCGTCTGGAAGTTAAGACTGAAAATTAGAATGCAGAGAGCAGGCAGGCCACAGGAAAACATCATTATGTGCAATGCATTGACTTTCCTTTCAGAGCAGGGATAACAGCATTATTGTTTAGGTAAGCAAATGGGAATTCAAATGGGAGACCTACATCCACCTTGCATCTTATTGGACAAGATGAAATATCCAGCTATGTCCTGCGTTATAGTATTATGCATTTCTGCCTAGAGGAAACTTTCTCCTCAAAAAAGCGGAWGAAAATATTTTGAGAGAGATCACAAAGGAGCTTAGAGCAATAAGCAAACACCAAATAGACAGTGTAAGCATGATTAATTTGTTTCTGCCTGCTCCCCCATTCAGAGAGGGATGGGAAAAGCAAGGGTTATTTGCTGAAGGAGCGGATTCTGATTATAAAGGGAATGGGGACAAGACTGCTTTGAATTCCCTCTCTACCTTTTGTGTAAAAAATTCTCCAGCACAAATATGTAAAACTTAAAAATCTCATGTACTCAGGTGCCAACACCTTACTATTTCCAGACTGTGTTTATATGTCTTTTTTCTGCATACCTTAGACTTTGCTCTCRCAACAACGTCCAGGTTGGTGACTACACGAGCAGCTGCTTTGAAGGTGAAAGCAGCTTGGGAGGCACGTCAGCACTCTTGTGCCCTCGACAGTCAGCCCGACTGACATTGGGAAGGGCGTGGTGGACGATGCTGTGAGATCAGGAACCTACAGCCTTGGAGCAATTTCTCGACCTGGTTTTGCTGCTGAAGGGGAGGAACAAGCCACAATGCCCTGGATTCAAGAGAGTTAAGTGCAGTGATTTCAGGGCACCTACTTTCCGAGGCCACCCACCAATGTCTTCATGACCCTGTGAAGAAGTAGCTGTGATGTCTAAGTTGGATGCATCTTTTATGCAGTCTGATTATCACACAACTTGACCTGAATCTGGTTGTCAGTCTTTCTGTGCCATTGTCACAGAGTGAGCACCAGGGAGGCAGCTGCTTCCCATCTCCATCCACACAGCCCAAGAATTTTTTAGGGTAATGGGGAACCACCTTGCCTACTCGGCTGTGCAGTCCTCCACATCATAGGACCTTAACTCCTCACGTGTCCTCCAAGCTCCTGCTTCCCAATCTCTTACCATTTCCTTTGTGCTAATTCATGAGATTTCCTTTTGCTGGGGTTTTTGAAATGGGGAGACAAGGAGCTTGGCTCAGACAGTCTGCTGCAACATCTGGCAGACACAGCAGAGTCTGCAGGAGCTGTTGCTACTTGTCATTAACTCCTGCTCCTTAAGACAACTGAAGTGATCCCATCACGGCAAACCTTAAGCATTCTGAATAAGAGACTTGAAGATACTGAAGACAAAAGCAGTTTGAAGGAAAAGAGTTTTTGTTTGTTTTTGCCCAACTTTTGCCCAGAGCAAGTTTTGCTGTGGGACCTTCAATCCCACCAGTCTCCATCCGTGGAGGGGCAACGTGGCCTTCCAGCAGTGCAAGTGGAAGTGAATGCTGATTTATCTGTTCTCACTTTCAAGAACGATTGCTGCACCTCTTTCTAACACTCACTCTCCCTGTCATCTTTCTTCCCAAACCTCCCACATTCCCTCATATTGTCTGACCCTTTCTAACATATTCCATTCTTTTTTGCCCCTCACAACTTACTTTTATTCTGTCTCCTTCTCATTTTTCCCGTTCAGCCTAGTTCCTTACTGTTTTCATGAGGAAATAGTGGTGTATAAGGAAATCTGGCTGTCTGCCTACGCAGAGGAGCAAATTCATCTTGGTGAGCACAAAAGATACCATATGTCAGAGCAGGTAGTTTGTCTCCACTCTTTCATTGTTCTGCAAGGAAGCCACACAAAAAGAGGGTTAATTTGCTGGCTCTGTGACAGGAGAAGCRGAGAGGATGTTTCCAACAAGCGACAGAGGGCATGAAGAGCTACCAAGTGTCCTCAGGCAGCTGTACATGTTTGCTCTTGGCAGTAGYCCAAGCAAATGAGAGGCTTAAGTTAGGGTGGAAAGGCTTATATGAAACTTCTGCAATATAGTATGCTTTTATTATCAATAATTCTCACGGAAATAGGTTGTAACTATCCTGAATAAASAAATCCAACTAGCTTTGTACCAACCTCTGTGTTACTGTGTTTTGCTGTCTAAAGGCTTTGGTCAGAAGTTCTGCCATCCCAAGGCCCAGTTCAGAAGTCACCTAGAGCTCCAGACCCAAAAGTCCTCCCCAACTTTTAGGGCAGGCACTGACAAGGGGACCAGAGACTTCTTGTTACTTCTATACATGCACCTCTACTCACTGACCCAAAGTAAGTCCCTCTTCTCTTCCTCCTTTAGGCCTCTCAGTTAGTCATTTCCTCCAAGAGGCCACTGCAGAGCATAGCTGTATCAAGGACTAATTGCCAATTTAATCCATGAGGTTTACCAGATAGTTTGCAATAACCTGATGCTAGCATTGACAATGTAACAAAAACACATAAGGACTTCTCAAATTTTATAGAGGTTCAATGTCATCTTGGCCTCTTTTAGAGCTTTGTTACTCTTCTTTTTCTTTGAGGATAAGACCTGTTTGTGCTGGTGCTATGTCCATCAAGGGCAGCTCCTAGACAATGAGGGTGAAAAATAAGCAATAAAAATTTTCAGGAAGGCAAAAAATATTTTTTTTCTGAAGGTTTGGGTCTTTTTGTGCAGGGCGAAGACCTGTGGAAACTTGACTCGAAGCTACAGCTAACCTCTGTGACATGAGATCAAAAGAGCACAAACAATTCAGCCATGGGATTCAAGAATTTTTTCTTTCAAGTTACAATTTTAATAACGTGAATCTTCACTGTAAACTTGTTTGTCTCTCTGTGGTCTATTAAAAGCAATCTCTAGCTGAAATTTCTGCCTAAGAGATCCTTCAAATAAAACCAGCTTTAAAAAAGGCAGAAAGAGTAGAAACAGTTTGCTAGGGAGAGCRCGCAAAGTTGTTTTTAGAGATTTGTGCCATTTTTCTTCATGCATCCATTTGCTCTGTGGTACCTTCCCTCCTGGTAGCTAGCAAAGAAATGCTGCCCGAGAGATGAAGGGAATAATTTCAAAGACCGTGGAGACTTTTTCTGGAAACTCTTGACTTGCCGCCAGCAAACTACCTTCCGCTGCGGTTGAATATCAGCTTGCATTTGAATATTTGATGGAATCCGGTTGAATTCAAATGAAACTGTAGCTAGGAGAGGAATAACGCTCAGGCAATCTATAGTAATGATCCAAAGTGGTGCCATTTGCAGCAGTGACACTGTGTTACTCACTGCATATTGCTGCTGCGCTGTTAATGAGCCCGTGGAAACTCACGGCCCCTAGGTGATTAATGATGGGGAAATGCCGGCAGGGAATTGCACACCCATGACTTTCGGGGGCCCTCGACGCACATGCCAGCTRTAGAAGTTTCCACTCAGTCTCTTACAACCACAGATTGTCGCCCCCTCACATCTCCCAGCTGAGTAGCTCATGCAAGCACTCCCTACCTCATTTTGGTGTGCAAAGGCTGGGATTACAAACCCAAGCATAGTTGCTGGAAAGGGAGCACCAGGGAAAAAGAAATAGACATTCAGGATCTCTTCTGTCCTCTTCTGGCTTCTGAAATGATTTTGCCTGCAAGCCACCAATTCCACTTCAATTACACAGTCTCCAACATTACCAGTTTTTCTTCTGCTCTCCCATTGACATACAGCTACCAAAGCACAAAATAGGGCATTTTCAGACCTCACAAAAATAAAGAAAAATAAAAATAATATCTTACCTGGTTCAGTAGAAGATGTGAAGATAAAACCTGGAGTTAAAGCTGTCCTGAAGGTCATCTCTGAACCACTACAATGGCTAAAACACCTGCATTATTTCTTTCCAAGCTGGGTACAATGCTACTGACATCACTGAACCAGAGAAGAGCTCAGCTGGCAAGGTGACAACAGGAACCAGAWCTCCACAAAAGAAGAGGAGCCAAAGGAGGAGAGTAATCATAGCTTGCAACAAACCTGTTTCATGCTAAGGAGAAGAGAACTTTGAGGGTGTYGCCACTTCCTCCAGCACAGCCGAAGGGAGACTAGCAAGCAATGGGAGGTGGACATCTCCTCAACTTATGGCATGTGATTGCATTTAGGTCAAACAGCGCAGGTGTCTCCTTCAGCATCTGTTATCTGAGCACTTGGTATCACCTCAGATCAGGTGCATGTGGMGCTATTAGCAGGCTGCATGGAGAAAAAGACCCTTTTCCCCATTTCTTCTTCTCTTTGCCTCCCATGAGCAATCAGTGCTGCTAGTTAACCTGAGGAGCATCAGATGAGGTGGAGACTGTTTCCATTTGAGTTTCGTAGCATAGCAATGTGTCTGCAGTGGCCTTTTCATGCCAGCCTATCTCAGTTGTGGGAGAAGATGAGGCCACCACGGTGACATGGCTGAGGAAGGGGCTCTTACCTCACTTGTACCATACCTGGATGTGGAAGCAGGACACTCTCTGGGCTAAAAAGGATTCCAAAAGCAAAGTGCAGAAAACACGTTTAGGACTTGGAGCATCGACAAATCCTAACCAGCAGATGAGAGGGCAGATAAGATCTCCACATGCTTTAATTCTTCCAGAAAGAGAAACCTCAGAGTTTAAATCTGATATTAAAAGATCCAGCTGCAAAATTCCCTCCATTCCAGGTGGCTGCATCTCAGACCGGAGGAATGACATTTTTTGCCAGCAACAGCCATTTAAACTCGTATTTCCTATTCAGAGTCTTTATTAATTTAAACGGGAAATTGTTAGTGTCCCAGATTCTGAGAAACACTGTTGACTTTGGATGTGCAATACTGATGATAGCACTGTGCTTGTCTATGGGGCATTTATTCAAGCTTGGCCCTCTGACTGGGTCGCCAAGCCCCTGTCCCCAGGGACATTTATTTACTGACAATTGCAAATGAACGTTGTATAAGGACTTAATCTCCATTTTGCCTTGTAGAAATTGATTTATCATCTAATAACTCCCTTGTCGTGATGGGCCGAGAGGAGCCAGAGTGCGAGCAATAGTGGTTTTGTGCTGTCAGTATAGATCAGAGCTAAAGACATTCCTCTTTAACTCAAGCTTTGGGGTTTTGGGGTTTTTTTACATGAGCAGTTTTCAGCTGACAAAAGGCATTTTGCACAACAGATTCTTTCCTGTTTAGGGTTTCATCCCACACAGTTTTTGCAGCCTTGCTCCCCTCTGCATCTCCTACAGACAGCAGTGCGTAGCAGGAGAGCGGATCAAACTCCAAGACAGACGGATCCTGCCTTCTGCTCTGAAAATTCAATGAAGAACTACTGGTGATAATTACAGAGGAAAGCCTCATTGATTTCCACTTCACTTTCTGTAAAACTAGTGTTCAAAAGACACATGAAAAGCGAAAAGAAAAAGATAAAATAAACTTGTTCTGCTCTAAGTGCTATGTCTCATGGCACAGATAGAAGAGAGGGAGATCAAATATCTGAGAGAGCCACCCAGAGCCCCCAGACTCAGCTGAAGCTGATGAAGGAGCTTTGCATCTAAAGTGCAAACAAATTGATTTTTACTAGGGTCTCACCCYGAAGTAGATAACTGAAATCTGAATTAAGGCTGCACTGATGCTGTAGAGAAGACAAGCCATTTGGCAGAGAGGTTGCTAATTTCTTCAAGAGAATCTTAACAGGCAAGAATTTTAAATCTCAAAGCACTGGCAATATCCTCCATTAATCCTGAGGTTACATCTAAGCTGTGTAGATGGTTATCTCCTGGCCACGTGCTCCTATAGAGCGGGAGGTTACTCCTAGCAAAGTACAGCTCTCTCCAACTGTCTGCATGTCCTTCCCTTGGAGCAGATGGGTGATGGCTTTATCCTGACACAAGAGTTCAGGAGCTAGGAACAAGACCAGGATCCTAAAACCACTTCTGGAAGCTATAATTTGGCTTTCTTCCTCTGTAAGCAGACTGAAAGGATGATACTCATTTCAACTTTAATGTTGAAATGTCARATATTGATAGAAAATGATTTACAAAGTTCTGTCTAAACTGGAGAGCTCTTAGTATACTGCCCATTGGTAGAAGAATCCTGTTCTTGTTCTTGGTACAGTTTGGTCACCCAACAGGAACAAGGATTTCCACCTTGACAGATGGGTGTTTTCATGAGGAAGAGCTAACTTCACATGAGTAGCAGGCCATAAATAAAGCAGGCAAAGTCTAGCTCAGGGATTTTCCATGGCTGGAGACTCCTGTCTCTTTTTTATCTTACTGCTCCTCAAAAACTTCAGTTTTGTATTTTACATTTAGCTTCTGAGAAACTCAYATGACTTAAGAACTCAATAAACCCAGCTTTCACCCAGCCCAGTATTCAAGGTAACATCAACCAGCCTTTAATTCCTTTAGACTGAGTGGAGGAAAAAAAAAAAGAATTCTATAAATTAATATGAAACTGAACTTATGGGGTTAATGTGCTATGGCAGAAAGAACCACGGTAAGTATAATTTTTTTTGTATTTTTTTCTGGGCAAAAAATGTCAGTTTTGCAAGGTATAACTCTAACAGATCATACTATAATTTCTACAGAAAGATAAAAGCCTTTTCTAAGCACACCTAAAGATGTAGATGATATACTTTATTGTGAATAATCAAAGTAAAACTAGTACAAAACCAAAATTTTCCAACATTTTGTTAATTCTTTCATACTCAGTCTCTTTGATCTGAAAGAATGAAATGGAGAACTGGGGGAACTTGGGGAAAATTCCCATAACAATTTCTTCCATAAAACAAATGATTTAATTTACATATTCATCTGCTATCATTTCACTGTACTTCTAGATGTCTTTTTCCATTATTTAACTGATGCATTTTTAATAACATTGTTTCTCTAATTGTATTGTCATTCAGGTCACTATGATCTTACAAATATTATCAAATTCACTTGGGTTTTCAATGACTTTGGCTGGTATCTTATCCATATCCTCAATGTCAAAGAGTCTCAGAAATGACCTATCACAACTCTTTTTTTACTCAACACACATTCTAATCGTCAAATTAGACACATAACAAGCATTCTTTGTCCTTTATCTAAAGAACAAATAAAAATGGWTTTTTTTCCCCGTGTCAAAAGGAATTGTTTTGTGTAGGAGGAGGGAGAAATGAAGTCTCCAGGAAGGCAGGTTCTCAATAGCACCGTCTCTTCATTTTCTTGCTACAGGTTACCAAAATCCTTTGTGTAATCAGACACAGACCTCTGTGTCTCTACTACACTTACTATCTTCAAAACTCTAGCCACAGAAGATGGGATGAAACTCACTCCAGGCTCCTCACTCTCCTTTCATGCTCTTCACACACTTCTGCTTAAGCAGGTCTCTTCCAGCTACTGTTGGCCAACCTTGCTACAGGAATGAAACCTGTTCTTCTTTTACTACTTGTGCTAGCCAACAATAATTTATTATGTGGACAGAAATGCTGGAAACTGCATATTAAGCAATATTAATCACAGGCATTTCTTTTACCTTTTTGGGTTTTTTTTCTTTTGCTTTTTTTTTTCCCTACTCCTTTCTTTTTAGTACTTGTAATGCAGTTGTATCCATCCAGAGCAGGTCTCTGCCTTAGCTTTTTAATTAAGTTCCAAGGCTTCTCTTCAATGACCAAACTATTACCAAGAAAAAAAAAAAAAAGTGTTGAAATGATAGTTCTTTTCTCAATTTTAAGAGGAAAACTGACAACATTCACTCCTAATACACCAGTGAAATTTGATGTTGGGACTGACAAATCCAAAGTTCAAATACAGCCTAATCTGTTACTTGCTGGCTGTAGGATCTCTGAATTTAGCTAAATTTCAGTCCATTATCCTGGCCTGCTGTATTTCAGTAACTAAAAATATTAGGAGATTCTATGATATTCGTGAGGCTTTCCATTGGTTTAAAAAGATAAAATGGAAATCCATTCTTTTAAAGATGACTTTAGTTGTCTCTATCCTCTTTTCTTTGCCTCCACTTCTTCTTATACAGAAATCTTAATACGTGCTAAAGAAAAATCTTTTTTTATTATTATATTAGAGAAACTTTTTTTTTTTTGAAGTTCTGCATTCCCTTAAAAACACTTTACAGACTAATTATTTCCCTCCTTTCACTAACCAAACAATCATTTCTGGAAGGAAGGTGGAGGAGATGCGCCAGTCATTTATGAGCTGCTGAAGAATGCACCATGCCTTCCAACTTCAAACATTCAGTCAAAAATATAATTAAACCTTCTTCTAAGTAAAAGGAATCATCTCTCATGTTTTCCTACTTGCTTTCATCCCTGCAAATACTACATTTCAGAATGCAGACCTCCTCCTGCCTCCCTTGCTTTTAAGAACAGACCAGTTGCTTTGATGAGATAATTTACCTGAGAAAGAAAGTATGTCTGGGTCATGTATACACATATATATATATACATATATATGAATGTACATCCAGGCTAGAATTTCTTTCTCTGACTATTGAAAAGCATTGGTCCCTTAATGGCACTCTACAACTTTTGAGGACAATTTTAGGCCAGGAACTGAAGGTAACTTGAAATCCAAGGAGGAACAGAAGAGCTCCTCACCCTCGCACAGGGTGACTTTATCCTGTGTCCTTCAGAGGTGAAAAAAAAAAAAAAAAGGTGCAAAATATCTCCAACCTGGTAGCATAGTTTTGTTCTTTTTTAGAGGGAGGGCTCTGTTTTTCTTCCTT